ACTCAAAGAACAGACAGAAGGAGAAATGAGAAGCTCAAAAGACACTCAATCCTCATGGACAGTATGAAATAAAAGCAAAATCACAAGTAGTTACAGCTAATAATTACAGAGCATTTGCTTGAGCCACGTGCTGCTCTAAGAACTTTACATTTTCTTAGTTCATTCTGTGTTGCTATACCCGAGGCTGAGTAAATTATACAACAAACAGGTTTCTTATCCCGTGGTTTTGCAAGGCTATATAAGAAGTATGGTGCCAGCATCTGCTCGGCTTCTGGTGAGGGCTTTTTTACAGGTTCATGTGAAAAGGACAAACCCAAGGGGCATCCTGGATTTACAGCAACCTTCTCTCCTGGGTAATAATTCATTTGCCCAGTTACCAATACAGTCTCTCCAGAGAGAGAACTCACCCACTACCCCAAGAACAGCCCCCAGCCATTCATGAGGGATCCACCTCTGTGATCCAAACAGTTACTAGGCTCTACCTCCCAACACTGCCACACTGGGGAGCAAATTTTAACAAGAGATTTGGTGGGATAAAACAAACCATATCCAAACCATAGCATATATGTTTAATCTTTTGTGTTTTACCATATCTTGTGAGGCAGGCACTATTATTAACCCCATTTTACAGATGAAGAGACAGAGGTAAAGACTACAGATGAATGAAGAGACAGAGGTAAAGACAAGTTAAATTGCTCGTCCAAGGCCACTAAACTAACAAGATGCAGAGCTAGGATTTAGAAGGGCTATAATTTTAACCACTTTGCTTACCTCCCGAAATTCTGATCTTTATTACTTCTCTCTTTTCTACTCTAGCTTAAGTGTTACTCATAGCAATATTCCACAAATAAGCTGCTATAATGTGTGTTAGTTAATAATACCACACTCTTCAAAGCAGAATCTTTAAAATAAACAAACATATTTATTCATATAGAAAAATTACCTAAGGTAGAGACTATTAAACCACTGAGACCCACTGGTTCTCTACATTCATGGATAGGGTTCTAACAAATAACCTGAACATGACAGATTAGCTTTTAAAAATATAAACCATAATCATTACAGAAAAATTTCAATAGCATAAGCAAAATAAAACATGTATTAAAATTATCCAATTACAAAAAGTAGAAACAATAAACACATAGCGATGAACCAATATTAAAATTTTCTTTTATAATTGCTTTCTTACTGGTTAGAGTTTAATAAAAGTAGAAGTAAATTGTAACAACTTTAAAACAGAACTGGTCCTCAACTGGAGGCTATTTTGTCACTCCTACCCCAGCCCCACGGGACATCTGGCAATTTCTGGAGACAGTTTGGTTGTCACAACTAGTAAATGGACGGGGGCATTTAGTGAGCAGAAAGTGATGCTAATAAACCTCTCACAAAGTATAGAAGAGCCCCCTGCCCACCACAAAGAATAATCTGGCCGCAAATGTCAATTGTGCCAAGTTTGAGCAATTCTGCTATAAAAATAATATTCTACTCTTTCATGTCCTTGCATCAGAACTACTACAACATCTTCTTAATTGGCATCTCTAACTCCCTAATTCCCTCCTTGAACCTCCTTCTAGAAAGTTGCCAGATCAATTTTGTTTAAGTAATAATTTCATTACAATAGTTACTTCAGATTTCTAATTTTCATATAGTTTAACTTGAGCTTCTCTGGAACAGGCATCCTTTTATAGTTATTATTTTTTTTTATTTGCAAAGTTTTCCATCGAGCCAGTTCCTAGAAAAAATCACAGTCATTGTTGACTAAATGTAAAAATCTGCAAAATGGAATTCCAGGCTAAATTCCTTTCCTTTTTCCTTGTTTTATCACATTTAGTAACTGGATAATTTAATGGACAATTTAGTCAGAAGCCCTAGGTTTGAGTTTCATCTAGTAGCTGTGGAACACTGGGAAAACTTGTAACCTTTTCTGAAATTGAGAAAAAAACGATGATCAGTTGCAAAAATAATACAGACATTATGGGGAGTTTAAAAAAGAAAAATAATAAGAAAAATTGTGTCGCCAAACTCATGCATTCCATTCCTGTTGCTGCTGTAACAAATTATTATAAACTTAGTGGCTTAAAAACAACCTAAATCTATCTTATGGTTCTGTAAATCTACAGAGATCTAAGTCTAAAATGGGTCTCAGGGGGTAAAATCAAAGTTATGGCAAGACTGTATTACTTTCTGAAGGCGCTAGGTAAAAATCCACTTTCTTGCCTTTTTCACCTAGATGCTGCCTACATTTCTTGGACGGTGACCCCCTTTCTGTCTTCAAAGCCAGCAATGGCCAGTACTGTCTTTCTCACATTACATCACTTTGACACTGACTCTTCTGCCTCCCTCTTCAGCTTTAAAGAACACTTGTAATTACAGAACTGGATTATTTTAGATAATCCAGAACAATATCTTCATCTTAAAGTTAGATTACTAGCAATCTTAACTTCATCTACCACTTTCATATTCCCTTGCTATGTCATCTATCTTACTCAAAGGTTCTGAAGATTAGAACATGTACATGTTTCCAGTGATGGCATTATTCTGCCTATCATGGTCTATTTTCAAGCCCCCAAATATTCACATCTTACAATCAAAGTATATTCATCCCATTTTAATACCCCCAAACTGTCAATGAATTACAGTATTAACTTGAAGTACAACACCTCATTTCTATGTCATCAACCCAAAGGTTCCCAAGTACCATTATCTAAATCATTTAAATCAGGTATAGGTGAGGTACATAATCCATTTTGAGTCACAATTCATCTCCAGCTGTGAACCAGTGAAACTCAAGAATTGAGTCATTTTCACTTAAAATAAAGTGGTGGACAAATAATGCATAATAAAAAATAATAATAATATTCACTCTAGCAAAGAAAAATGCAACTATGCAGAAGTTCATATGCATTTAAAAACAGATGAAAAATAATCATCTCTAAAATTTAAGGATAAAATCAACTTAATTTTGAAATTTTGATCTTCATAATGAAGTTGAATAAATGTCATATCATTTGTTACCATTATTAGCTTTGTGTTATTACACTAATCCTAAGACTGATACAGTCCTCTTGCCTAAAAAATTTTTTTTTTTTTTTTGAGACAGAGCCTTACTCTGATGCCCAGGCTAGAGTGCTATGGAATCAGCCTAACTCACAGCAACCTCAAACTTCCAGGTTCAAAGTGATCCTCCTGCCTCAGTCTCCCAACTACCTGGAAGTACATCCAGCTAGTTTTCTTTTTTTTTTTTTCAATTTTTAGAACAGAAGGTCTCCCTCTTATTCAAACTCATCTCAAACTCCTGAACTCAAGTAATCTTCCCACCTCAGTGCTAGGATTATAGGCATGAGCCACCATGCCCAGCTTTCCTGAAATATTTACACATAGTACTTGGTTTTATTCACACTTGGGAAACCTCTTATGAAACATACTAATAGGGGTACTAAGAATATATACAAATGAATTAAAAGTGGGAATTGATAGATATTGGCATATTTATCTAAAAGATATGATAGATATTGATATCTGTAATTGATAGATACTGGCATGTCACATCTAAAATGCAATGAATGTGGCTGGGCACAGTGGGTCGTGCCTATAAACCCAGCACTCTGGGAGGCCAAGGCAGGAGGACTGCTTGGGCCCAGGAGTTTGAGACCAGCTTGAATAAAAGCAGACCCTGTCTCTACTAAAAAACTAGCTGGGCACAGGCATCATGGCAGGTACTTATACTTCCAGTTACTCAGAAGGCTAAGGCAAGAAGATCGCTTGAACCCAAGAGTTTGAGGTTGCTGTGAGCTATGACCACAAGACACCCTACCCAGAATCACAGAGTGAAACTCTATCTCAAAATAATAATAATAATAAAGAAAGAAAGAAAGAAAAATGCAATGAATAGACTGGGTACAAGGACTGATATTTCTTTTTATTCAAATTTCCTCTTGTCACCATTGGTAAAGCAAAAAGCACTTTCTAATAGACTTTGTGTGTTTAATTTTAACCCAGGGCAAATTTTTATGACTGAGTGATAAACCCACAAAACTGGACTTCATATCTGGAGCCCTTATACTATTAACTATAACGATACTAGTGGGCATCACCATTTTTAAAAGTGTAAAAAATTCAATGAGCAGATTGTCATTACAGAAACTCATTCTGCATCACACATATCACCCAAGAGACTGATATTTTATGCTTATAAAACTTAACATAAAATTAAATTGCAAATATTTTCTCCCAATTTACTAAAATTATGGCCTAAGGCAATATATTGCTAATATGAAGCATTTGTTCAGCTCTAGTGGACATATTTCCTATATGATTTATCTGAAAAGAGGCTTCATTTACTTCTTCATAGTTCAGTAATGAGGTTCCTTTTCTTATGTTAGGACTACAAAGTATAAGAACTTCTTTAAAATTAAGCCAGCAAACATAACACTGAATTGCTAATAAATAATAGTCAAATTTAAAAACTCAAGGTAGTCTCTCCTTGTATTTGTGATGTCATTTCAAACATCAACCATTATTTTATTATCTAAATGTATAAAAAGCATCTAAATACTCCATACAGAATTATATTTTCATTTTTTTAGGAACAAAACCAGAGTAACAAATTTCAAGTGAAACATTGTAATTTTCTTCCCTTGAAATCTAAAAAGATTAAAAATAATTTCAATTATTTGCTCCCTAACCACCCCCCCCCAAATTTTTAGGAATGACAGAAATAAGAGTTATCTTTTGGGATGAGAATAACACAAAGTCCATGAGGTGTGAGAAATGGAAAAATTGATTTCAACATCATTGACCCAATGCATTATGAATTTATATGTAGCACTTTGTAAACAGTGAAGTGTTTACTTACTAGCATGTTTTAAAATATACATAGAAGGAAAAAACGTCTTCATCTGGAACTTTTAAATAAATCCATACACTCAGCTTTATGCTGAAATCTACTTAACTTGAAAAGTTACCAGATTTTATACCAAAGTATAATAGGCAATTCTTACCTTAAGCAATCTGCATCATTTTGAGGCTTTTCACTGATTTTTATTTTTTCTGCCTCTAGGTATTTGGTAGTATAAATGGATTCCTTCTCTTCATTTTCAAAAGCTAAACAATTTAAAAATTCTTATAATTAAAAAAAATACATGTTATCTTTACTCACTCATAAGAATAATACTCTAATTTTTGGTGCTTACGTGTATATTCTCTACTCTAATATAGCAATTAAGGGAGCACAGAAGATCTCTGCAAAATTTGTGACATTAAAAATACAAGCTTTAACATGCATATATATTTTATCTCTTTTTGATGCCAATAATAACAATATATTCCAAGACATAAATATATTTTTTAAAAATGATATGATCCTATTATGTCCATGTAAATACATTTAATAGCAAAATAAAGTAATTGATGAAGGTAATACCTTTAAGTTTTCTCTGGAGAGTAAGTAACTCTTGTGCCAATTCGCTCTTTTGTTTTTGGAGTTCATTTAACCAGCCACTATCATGTTCCATTGTTTTCATTTCTAGAAACAAATACAATAGCATCAAAAACAAAATAATCAAGGAGGTAAAAGCTATGTACACTGAAAACTATATAACATTGATAAAATATATTGAACACAAATAAATGAAAAGATATCTCTATAGATTTAAGATTTGGTATTAAAAATGTCCATACCACCCAAAGCAAAATACAGACTCAACACAATCCCCATCAAAATGCCAATGGTATTCTTCACAGAAATAGAAAAAAAAAAAACACTTCTAAAAAATCTAGACACAAATAGACAAAAAATGTATTTTAAGTATTTAGGCTTTGCCTTAAATATGTCAGTAATTATTAACTTCTTTTATAAAGTAAAAATTTAAGCAGCATATGGTCGATTGGCCATCTAGGAATTGTTTTTAAAAAACTGACCAGCACATATTAATCATGAACTGATTAATAAGATACAAAGAGACAGGTTAGTTGACAGTTAGGCCACCAAAAGACAATTCAAAATATGTAAAACACGTATTACTGAGGAAAAATAAACTTCCCAATAATAAGAAAACTCTATGCTTCATACCTAAAGCATATTTGAAATAACATTGCACAGTACTCACTATATGGCAACAAGCTTTCACAATATTGCTAATACGGTTTCTTCGACCTAAAATGCCCTTCCTCTCTTTATTCCCACAACAAATTCCTATTCATCCCCTAAGACTCATCTCCTAAATTTTCAAATATTTTTCTCTTCTGGTCTATCTTCCAGAACTCCAATTACACATTTATTAAACTGCTTGATGTTGTTCCACATGTCTCTGAGGAGCTTTTTAGTTTTTTGAAGTCTTTTATTTCCCTCTGTATTTCAGTTTTTAAAGCTCTCTCTTCACATTCACTGACCTTTTTTCCTGCAGTTTCTGATCTGCTGTTAATCCCTTCCAGGGAATTGTTCATATTGGATATTATGTTTTCTAACCTCTAGAGTTCCTTTGGTTCTTTTTACAGAACAACTTTTAATGAGATATAATTCACATATCATATAATTTATCCTTTTAAAGTATAAAATTGAGTGGGCTTTAGTATATTCACATATTTGTGCATCCATTATCACTACATAATTTTTGAACATTTTCTCACCCCCAAATAAAACTCCATACCTATTAGTAGTTACCCACAATTTCCTCCAGCTCATTCAGCCCTAGACAACCACTGATCTACTTTCTGTAGGAAAATACGAATTTTCCTGTTCTGGACATTTCACAAAAACCAAATCAAACAAGATGTCGTCCTTTGCAGCTGGTTTCTTTCATTTAGCATAATGATGGTAAGGAGTACTCATGTTGTAGCACATATCAATGTTTCATTTTTTTTTATCATGCCTAATAAGATTCCATTGTATAGCTATACTATATTTTGTTTTTGTATACATCAGATGATAGACATTTATGTTGTTTCCACTTTTTGGCTACTATGATTAACGTTGCTGTGAACATTAATGCAGGTCATGCATCATTTAACAATAGGGATACATTCTGAGAAGTATGTCCTTAGGTGATTTTGTCATGTGTTAACATCAAGGAATATGCTTATAAAACCTAGGTGGCACAGCCTACTGCACACCTAGGCTGTATGGTATAGCTTATTGCTCCTAGGCTACAAACTCATACAACATTTTACTATGCTGAATACTGCAGGAAATTGGAACACAATAGTATTTGTATATCTAAATGTATTTAAACATAGAAAAGGTGCAGAAAAATACAGTGTAAAAGTTAAAAAATGGTACAGCTATATAGGGTTACTTACCATGAATGGAGCTTGTAAGACAGGATGTTGTTCTGTGGGCATCAGTGAGTGAGTGAATGCGAAACCCTAGGACGTTACTGTACACTATTATAGACCTTATAAACATCACACATTTAAGCTATATTAAATTTGTAAGAATTATTTTTTCAATAATAAACTTTAGCTTACTGTAACTTTTCTACATTATAAACATTTAATTTTTTTAACTTTTTCACTCTTTTGTAATAATACTTAGCTTAAAATATAAAACACTGTACAAATATACAATATTTTCTTTCTTTATATCTTTATTCTATATGTTTCTCTATTTAAAATTTCTTTTTACTTTTTAATCTTTGTTAATAACTAAGACATAAACATACACATTACCCTAGGCTTCATATTCTTCCCAGTACTATTATTGCTCACCTTTATTACAGCTACATTAGTGGCATCTCTTTATGGTTTTGATTTGCATTTCTTGATGACTAAAGATCTTGAGCATCTTTTCATGTGACTGTTTACCTCTTTTGAGAAAATGTCTACTTAAATCCTTTGTCTGTTCTTTAATTGGGTTGACCTTTTATTGTTGAATTGTAAGAATTCTTTTTTTTTTTTATTGAATGGTAACTATGTACATTAATGCACCTCTGGGGTACAGTGTGGGGTTTTCACATGCAATCTGAAATACTTCCATCAAATTGGTCAACAGAGCCTTCATGTCATTTTCTCAGTTATTGTTTT